ATGTGTGAAAGAATGGGGAACGATGTGGATGGCCTGCCATTCCCAAAAGGACTGACAGTGAAGCAGCGAGTGCATTTCATTTTAGATGTAAGACCCAAAAAAGTGGAGGAAGAGTAGAACAGCATGACATAACTGTTATTTGTTCTGACAGAGTAGAAGTGAAGGCAGAGGGGAAAGGAGGAAGAACATGTGAGCCGACTGGAGTCACAGAGCATTACAGTTCCCAAGTAAGGAGGAAGGGGCTGCAGGTGTCAAAAAAGGGGGTGGGAGAAAGGAAGAGCAGAGAGAGAGAAGGGGGTGGGGCCTTGGTGAGTGCCACACCTTTCGGGGCCAAGACATGATTGTAAGAGGGACTTTACCTAACAAATGCAATCAATGTAACCTGGTACCCTCAATGAATCCCCAACAATTTAAAAAAAAAAAAAAAAGGTAAGCCCCAGAACAGTGGTTGTCAAACGACAGTCCACAGGCCAAATCCAGCCCACAACCTGCTACTAAAAATAAAAATTATGGGAGCATAGCCACACTCACGTGTTTACACATTATAACTTCTCTTCCTTTGTCCACATCATAGATACATCTACATCAGGGGAGGTGGGTAGCTGCAACAGTGCCTGCATGACCCTCAAAGCCTAAAAGCTTTGCTATCGAGACCTTTACAGAAAAAATCTGCCAGGCCCTAACCTAAAACAAAAATGCAAACCTTACTAAATGCTTTTTAAAGATTTTCTTTGTATTTTAGCAGCTTGACTATGATGTGCCCAGATACTGTGTGTGATATTTATCCTGCTCGAGGTTTTCTGAGCTCTCTGAATCTGTATTGATATTTATCAGTAATTTTACAAAAGTCTTGACCATTATGTCATTATATCTTCAAATATTTCTTCTTTTCCATATCCCCATTCTCCCATCCCCCTGAATCCCTCCCTCCTTCTGTAACTCCAATAACATATTTGTTAGACCATTTGCTATCATCCCGTACCACTTGGATACTGTTTTATTTACTTCCCTTTTTTTTTTTTATTCTTCCTGTTTACTTTCAGTAAAGAGAACTGACCTCTAAGTTAACTGACTCTTTCAGTTTTACGAACTGTTTGCTCATAAACCTGTTGAAATCATTACTCATTTCTACTACTGTATTTTGTTTAATGGTATTTCTACTGGACTTTAAAAAAGTTTCCATCTTTGCCTAAGTCCCTATCTTTTCATTCATACTTTCTACTAGATACTTAAGCACATTAATTATAGTTATTTTTATTTACTTACTGTTTTAGAGACAGGGTCTTGCTCTGTTGTCCAGGCTAGAGTGCAGTGGTGGAAACATAGCTCACTGTAGCCTTGAATTCCTGGGCTCAAGTGATCTCCCCACCTCAGCCTCCCAAGTAGCTAGGACTATAGGTGTCCACCTCTTGGGTTGGCTGATTTTTAATTTTTTTGTAGAGACGGGGTCTTGCTATGTTGCCCAGGCTGGTCTTGAACTCTTAGACTCAAGTGATTCTCCTGCCTTGGCTTACCAAAGTGTTAGGATTACAGGCATCAGGCACCACATCCGTTCTGTAGTTATTTTTAAGTTCCTGTCTTCTAATGCAACAACTGTTGTCATCACTAAGTCTGGTTCCATTAATTGCTTTGTCTTTTAAAAATAATTATTTTCCTTTCCTTTTTTCCTCCCTTCCTTCCTCCAACCATTTTCCTTTTCTTCTAGGCATATGTGTCTAACTGAATGCCAAAGTTTATGAGATGAATAGCACATGTGCTCCTTCTGTAAAGCCACCACGTTGAACTGTGCATCCACACACTGTTGTCATGACCTTTACTGGACTGTACTACAGACTTGAGTTTCTCTCAGTGCTGAGCTGCCATTTCCTTGTGCTGAGTGTGAGGGTCATAGGGCAGGGCCGGAAGATTGTCCTCTGTGTCCGTTCCATCTTCAGCTGTCAGCAGCCACTGCACACATGTACCACAACAGGGGTGTCCCTCCACACTCCTGCCCTTCCCCAGCGGCAGAATGCTTTTAGCTGTCACTCCGCACTAGGCTCATTTTGGCGCCAAGGTGGTTCTTGGTTTCCTAGTCTTAGGCATACTCTATGTGCCTGGACTTAAAAGGGACAACCAGACATTTGTAAATCTCACTCTTCAGCCTACCTGTGACAGCTGAATCCTGCTATGTGCCCATGGTGATTTAGGGGCAGATGGAATTTATTTTTCACTCTGTCACCCTAGGTAGAGTGCTGTGGTATCAGCACAGCTCACAGCAACCTCAGGCTCTTGGGTTCAAGTGTCTTCTAGCCTCCTGAGTTGCTAGAACTACAAGCATGTGCCACCATGCCCAACTAGTCTTTCTATTTTTAGTAGAGACAGGGATCTTGTTCTTGCTCAGGCTGGTCTCAAACTCCTGAGCTCAAGGGAGCCACCAGCCTCGGGCTCCCAGAGTGGTAGGGTTACAGGCACGAGCCACTGTGGCACACCTGGCAGGAATATTTTGCTTTTCTAATCTCTGCTTTGTATTGGTTCAGCATCCTGGACTCAAGAGAGTTTATCGCCTTCTCTCAGGGGAAGATGGTTTTTGCTTCTGTTATTCTCTCAGAAGCTACACCCTTTTGCTTGGCTCCCAGGAGAGAGAAGGAAAATTTCCTATCCTCTTCTAGAGGCAAAAGGGTTTATTGTTTCTACCCTTTCCTTAGAGGCCCTGGGGATAAGAAGGTTTGTTGTCCTGGCCCCAGAGAGTTAAAGTTTTTGCTTCATATGAGAGATGTGTCTGGGGAAAAAGGCAGTGTTCCAGGTCTGTTCCCCAGTAGTGATCAGCTCTCTCTGCTTACATGACAGATGAGGGGAAGGGAGGGTCTCTCTGCTCTTCTGCACTGCCTGATTTTTGTCCTGTGAGCATTTGGTGGAGACCAGAAAAGAGCTGGCAAGTGAATGAGAACTCCCCTTTGTTTGGAGCTCCCAGTTATTCTAAACTGCTGTGTCAGGCCATGAGTGGATTTTTGAAAACTTAAAATTAGATATTTCTTCTTCTTTGCTTCTGTGGTAGCTGACTCTCCTTCCTGTTCTGTCAAAGGAGAAGAAATAGTTTGCACATTTCCACTCCCCTTGGAAGGGCCTGTCGCGTTGCAGAATTAAGTTCCTTTGCTACTTTAGTTCTCTAATAAATTCAAGGACATTCATAATTTTTGCGGGCTATCTGGACCTTTCTTGTTGAGATGAAAGTAGCATACTATTTTAGCTTTCAAAATCCTAAGTGGAAGAGGAATTTAGGCCTGTATTTTATATGTCTTTGCCTTTTCATTTCCCTTGCTTAGTAATTCATTTTTATGGTGTTTTGTAGAAATATGGCTCTGTGATGGACTAAAAAAAAATTGGTCTTTCATCACATATAGTGTAAAAAGCACCATTTCAGTACATAAAGTAGTGATAATTATGCCAAGACTGTTCAGCCTCTCACTGTTGTAAATGAATTATTCAACTACAGAACACTGATCTTACTTACAACATCCTTACAGACAGCACAAAAATGTCATTAAATGACGACAATGACAAGAGAAAGGAGCCTTTGAAGACACTTAAACTATACTTCTAATTTAAACTCTAAAGATTTTAGAAGCAACAAGTATCTTGAAGTATATTTTCTCATAACGCTTTGTGGGTTTTTTTGAGACAAAGTCTTGCTCTGTTGCCCCGGCCAGAGCACGGTGGCATCATCATATCTCATAGCAACGTCAAATTCCTGGGTTTAAGTAATCCTCCTGCACCAGCCTCCTGAGTAGCTGGGATTATACTAAGCTAATTTTCTATTTTTAGTACAGATGGGGTCTTGATTTTGCTCAGGCTGGTCTCTAATTCCTCATAAAATCCTCTTGCCTTGGCCTCCCAAAGTGCTAGGATACAGGCATGAGCCACTGTGCCTGGCCTTATAACACTTACTATAGACTTATCGCTTTGCTGCTCTTAATGTTTCTGTCTCTCTTCCCAATAAAATAGTAACATCTCAAAGACAACATTTTATTCACCTTTGTATTACTCAGAGTCTAGCACAGTACCTGGCATGCAATAGATTTTTAATGAGTATGTATTGAATAAATGAACAAATGAATAAACAGATCTGAAAATCGTTCTACCTACTTTCTTGTGACCTTTTCCTGTGTGCCATATCCTGTTCTCTTCCCCCCCTTCCCCACCTCACTCCCCATTTCTGTTTTGTTAGTGTGTATAATAAACAGATTTCATAGAATCTATATATACCAGTGTATGCTTGGTTCCAAGTACCCCTTACTACTGCTGGCAGCCCTATGTGTCTGACCAGTTGGCTTCACACCCATAATAGCAGCATTAAGACTGAGATAGTTCTGGTCCTGCTGTTGCTTGAATGACCTGGCAGCATTTTTGATAGCCAGCTTTTGTAGCCATGTAAGTCTCTTGTAAGTAATCCAGTAGATTTCTGTCTGAACCTAGCTTAGTTTTCATCCACGTGGGTCATGTCTACACAGGGACTCATATACCTCAATCTTGAGTCTCCTTAAGTCAACAATATGCTACCATATTGCTATTTACTTTTCTGTGTGCTTTCCATCCTAACTTTCCATTAGGTATATAAGGAGAATGCTGGAAATCATAGTTTTTTTCTTTTTAAACCTTTCTAAATTCCTAACACACATGCCCAGAGTATATACACTGTATTCACTGAATAAAAGAACGAGTTGAATCCTACACTGAAAGCGCTTCTGATACCCTGAAGGTTGCTCTTCTCAACCTTCATTGGTTGAGTCAACCTACATTTATGTTATTTTTCCCTTTGTTTTTCCCAATAACTCATTTTTATTCCCTCATACGTCTATATGGTCTAAGAAGGAAAAACTTTAATGTGTGTCTTGAAGGGTGATAACTGATAATCCCTAAGAGGACCAAACACACCTGCAGTTCAACAAGGTTCAAATTTTCCCCTAATTGTATATTAAATAACCTCACCATTTCCTTAGATTTTAAGGAAAAGAAAGTCTTACCCAGCCTTAGCAACACTGATGGTTTGCTGCTCCATTGCCTCGTGGATACTGGTTCTATCATGCTCCTTGAGGCTATTAAACTCATCAATACAGCAGAGGCCTGCATCCGCCAGCACCAACGCCCCAGCCTCCAAATTCCACTCTCCTGAGTCTTTGACAGCAGTTACCGTCAGACCTGAGGACACGAGAAAGCTGTGTCAGCTTTTCTTTTCAAAAACATATCTTATACGTATGAGGGGAAAGAAATGCCTACATTTTAAAAAGAAGGGCATAGAATACAGGCTTTTACTTGCTATCTACCAAGCATGGATGCCATCAGGACCAGTGTTTCCTGTATCCATTCATTAGAAGGCCTTACAAGCTCCTACATTCTGAAAAACTAAGCTGTGTTATCTAGTATTTTATAGCAATCAGAAGTCCCCAAACTTTCTGTCTCTCCTTGTAAATTCCAGACTACTCTAAATTTTCAGAAGGAGCAAACAGATCTCCAGAGACCTTATGCAAAGAGGTTCTGTACTGTATACTGTTACAGAGAAAGAACCAATGATATAGAACATTAGTTATTACAGCCCAGTGATGGATACAAAAAGTTCGCTTCCCAGTACAGCACGAAAGAGGAGGATGTTTTCATATGTCAATTTTGATTTTTCCCTTACAACAGTCAACAAAGCAGAGTGCTTAAAAGCAAAGGCTTTGGAGTCAACAAGACTTGAACATTGAACCTATCATTCTGGCTATTCGATTGTCAGTTTTCTTAATATACACAAGAGGCCTTAATCTATTAACCTATAAAGGGGGGTAACAATAGAAAATACAGATTCTTGGTTATAGCTAAAGCTCATCAAAAGGTGTATGATATATAATGAGCACTTATAATAACTATTGTTGATAAAAACAGATAAACCTCTACCAGACTGACCAAGAAAAAGAAGAGGAGACACAAGTTACAAATGTCAGGAATGAAAGCAGGAACATACTATAGCTGCTACAATGAGATAATAATAAGGAAATACTACGAAGAACTCTACGCCATAAGCTTGATAATGTAGGTGAAATAGCCAATTTTTTTGACATGTTCAAACTTCTAAAGTTTATCATAAAAAGAAATAACTTGCACATTCTGTATTTATTTTGAAAACTAAATAAATATCAAACATCTTCTGATACAGAAATCTGCAGACTAAGATAACTTCGTGGTGAATTCTCCCAAACACTTAAGGAAAAAATAAGAACAGTTCTACAAAATTTTTCAATACAGAACAGAAAGCATTTCCAAGCTCACTTAAAGAAGCTAGCATTATCATGTTCTTAAATCAGACAAACATATTAAAAGAAAACTATGGATCAGTATCTGAGGAGAAGTCACATGTATTTCTTACTTTTAGTACTGTGCGTATACCATAGCGGTCCCATAAAATTATAAAGGAGCTGAAAAATTCCTATCACCTAGTGATACTGTAGCCATAACAATATAGGACAACCCATTACTCATGTTTTCCTGGTGATGTCAGTATAAACATGCTGTACAGGGCTACAGATTATAGCATATAGCCCGGGTGTGTAATAAGCTATGCCATCTAGCAGAGTAAGTGCACTCATTGATAATCACACAACAAAATCACCTAAGACATGTTTCTTAGAATATATCCTCGTCATTAATGAATGCATGACTATACATTGTCAAACACAAAACATTCTAATACCGTAATGGCAGTGGGTAAATAAATTATATTCTCTAGGAAAAAGAGTCAAATGTAAAACTATCAACTAAATCTACAATAATTTGTTAAGGGTTACAAATTATAAAAAAAGAAAGGAAAGTGTGACTTCTTTAAACATAAACATAAAATGTCAGAGGAGGGAGAAGTATAAAGTTTGTATACGTAAACAAAATTGTTATCAACTTAAAATAGCTTATGTTTTCTGCAAGCCTCAGAGTAACTTCAAAGCAAAAACCTGTAATAAATATGCCAAAGATAAAAGGAAAAGATCCAAATCATACCATGATAGAAAGTTATCAAATCACAAAGGAAGAAAGAAAAAAAGAACAAAAGATTTACATAATCAAAAACCAATTAACAAAATGCCACAAAGAAGTCTTTACCTAACAATAATTACTCTAATGTAAATGGATTAAATTCTCCAATGGAAAGGAATTTAAAAATGAATGAACTATGCTTCCAACTTAAATGGAAAATTAAAATCCAAATTAAATCCAAAGTAAGCAGAAAAAATAATTAGAATAGAAATTAATGAAATTAGAAACAAGAAATCAATAAGAGAAAATTAATAAAACCAAAAGCTCATTCCTGAAAAAGATCAATAAAATTTGTAAGCCTCCGGCCACAACAACTAATATCAAAAATGAAAGAGGGAACATCACTACACATGCTATGGACCTTATTGGACAGTAGAGGAATATTATAAACAACTCTAAACCCACAAACTTGTTAAGTTGGATGGAAATGGACAAATTCCCTGAAAGACATAACTCATTGAAACTCACACAAAGAGAAAGAGATAATCTAAACAGGTCTGTCTCTACTGATGATATTGAAATAACAATAACTTTCCAAAAAAGAAAGCACCAGGACCAGATGGGTTCTCTGATGAACTTCACTATCCATTTAAGAAAGAAATTATATGAATTCTCTGTAATCTCTTTCAGAAGACAAAATTAGAAGAAATTCTTTCCAGCTAATTCTGTAAGGCCAATATTATCTTAAATAACAAAACCAAAGACATAAGAAAACTATAGATCAGTATCTCTTATGAACACAAATGAATATCCTCAACAAAGTATTAGCAAATTTAATCCAACAATGATAAAAAGAATTGTATACCATGACCACATGGGATTTATACTAGGTATGCACGGTTGGAATAAATAATCAAAAATCAATTATATAAATACAACAATGCATCATATTATCAACAGTCTAACAAAGAAAAATTACATGATATCAGCAAAGACAGAAAAAACATTTGACAAAATCCAATAGCCATTTATGATAAAAACTCTCAGAAAACTATGATCGGAGGGTAATTTCTTCAGTTTTATAACAAATATTTATTTAAAAAAAAAACCTGTACCTAATATCTTAAAAATATCTAAAAACTTAAAAGTTTTCCCATTAAGATCAGGAACAAGGCAAAAATGTCCCCTCTCACCATTGCTTTTCAACATTACACTAGAACTCCTAGCTAAAGCAATAAGACAAGAAAAGGAAATAAAAGGTATCCAGATTGGAAAGGAAGAAATAAAACTATCTTTGTGTTTGCCAATAACATGATCATCTACATAGAATAAGTAAACAAACTTGACAAAAATAATCCTGGAAAGAATATGTGATTATAACAAGCGATCATAGCTGAAGATTTATATGTAAAAGTTAATTAGTTTCCTATATATCCAGATTGAACAAGTTGAATGTAAAATTAAAAATACATTATCATTTATATACATTAATGTTCCCAAAATAAAATATTTAAGTATAAGTAAACAAAATATGTGCAAAGATTATATAAGAAAAACTGCAAAGCTCTGATAAAAGTTTCAAAGAGGAACTAAATAAATGAAAATATATTCCATATTCATGAATAGGGAGATTTAAAATTATCAAGCAATCAGTTTTTCACAATGTGATCTAGAGATTCAATGAAATCCCAAAGTCTCAGCAAATTATTGTGTGGATACGTACAAACTGATTCTTTTTATATGGAGAGGCAAATGATCTAGTGTAGTCGATTCGATATTGATGGAGAAGAACCAAGTTGAAGGACTGAGATCACCCAACTTCAAGACTCTCTATAAAGATACAGTATGTATATGGCTTAGTGGGTAGGATGTCGGCCCCCTATACCGAGGGTGCAGAGTTCAAACCTGGCCCTGGCCAATCTGCAACAAAAAATAGCCAGCTGTTGTAGCAGGTGCCTGTAGCCCCAGCTACTCGGGAGGCTGAGGCAAGAGAATCATGTAAGCCCAGGAGTTGGAGTCTTGCTGTGATGCCAGAGAACTCTATTGAGGGTGACAAAATGAGACTCTGTCTCAAAAAAAAAAAAAAAGATACAGTATGTAATCAAATATGTATCAGTGAACAAACAAACAGTTCAAGGGGACAAAATACAGAGCCCAGAAATAGACCTACATAAATATAATCAACTGATACGTGACAAAAGATCAAAGATAATACCATAGAGCAAAAATAGTCTTTTCAACAGGTAATGTTGGAAAAACTAGACAATCTTGAGGAAAAAAAAAAAAGAATCTAGAAACAGACCATATACCTTTTACAAAAAGTAACCAAAATCTATTGTAGACCTAAGTGTAAAACAACACAACTATAAAACTCCTAGAAAATAATGTAGGAGAAAATCTAGGTGACCTTAAGTAAGGTGATGACTTTTTATGTAAAACACCAAAGGCATTACCCACAAAAGAAACAACTGATAAGTGGCATTTCATTAAAATTAAAAACTTCTGTGAAACACACCATGAATGGAATGGGAAGATAAGCCACAGACTGGGAGAAAATATTTGCAAAAGACTATCTAATAAAGGACTTCTACACAAAATATACAAAAAAGTCTTAAAACTCAACAGTAAGCAAACAAACAGTTAATTTAAAAATGGGCAAAAGATTGAACACATACCTTACTGAGGAAGACACACAGATGAACACCACCAAGTGATGAGGAGCATGAGAGCAACAGGAGCTCCCATTCACTGCTGCTGGGAATACAAAACAGCATTGCTACTCTGGAAGATAATTTGGCAGCCTCTCATAAAACTAAATACATGCTTACTATACGATCTTGCCATCATGCTCCTTTTACCCAAAGGAGTTAAAACTTCTACGTACATAAAAACTAGCTCACAGGCTCGGCAGGCTCAGCGCCTGTGGCTCAAGTGGCTAAGGCACCAGCCACATAAGGTGGCGGGTTCGAATCCAGCCCAGGCCCGCCAAAACAACGACGGCTGCAACCAAAAAGTAGCCAGGCTTTGTGGCGCGCGCCTGTGGTCCCAGCTACTTGGGAGGCGGAGGCAGGAGACTCGCTTGAGCCCAGGAGTTGGAGGTTGCTGTGAGCTGTGATGCCACAGCACCCTACCCAGGGGGATAGCTTGAGGCTCTGTCTCAAAAACAAACAAACAAACAAACAAAAAAACTAGCTCAC